CACACACACACACACACACACACACACACACACACACACACACACACACACACACACACACACACACACACACACACACGCACACAATCAATCGAGCAATCAAGCAATCAGTCAATCATTCAATCAGGCCGATCAAGATCCGCGTATCTTGATTGGTCTGATTGATTGAATGATTGATTGATTTTATCTCTATCTATCTCTCTCTGTGTATGCTGCGATGGTGACTACGTCGACACGCATCTATGCATCTTCTCATCTTCGCATGCTCGCATCTTCGCTTCTTCGCATCGCATCTGCATGGTGACTACGCCGACACGCATCTTCATATCTGCGTATCTGTGGATCTTCAGCTCTAACTCTTTCGGAGTTTTCTTTCTGCCTTAGAGAGCAGACTACCCGAGGGGCTGTTAAGGCGATTATTGTGGGCATAGGGGTGATGATCATTGGTTGTGGTATGTTGATAATTGGCTCAACACTTTGACAGCTCGGGATGAAGGTATGTAGAGGACAGACCCGGTGCAGAACATGTGGTAGGAGGAGAGTCGTGATCATGAAGAGAGATGTTTCTTTTCGAGCTCAACTGATACGGTGTATGACGACACATGTGAGAGCTACGATTAGACCACTATTCTATATGGCTAGATGTATTACCGATGAGCGGACACGGGGAAGACTATACGATGAACTTACGCGAGCGTTAGTTCTGATTGAGAGAACTTTGCTAACCGCTAGATGTAGTGAGGATGTGACTGTGGAGGATATCGTCGAGATCTGGCATATGTAAGGGGGGGTTGCTCGGGAGGAGATTTTGTGCCCTATGCTTGGCGTTTGTTGCTCCAACCGCTGTTTGTGTTCGGTGTCCGATTTGGGAAGGTAGTAAGGGAAGGCATATGTACTTTATACTCTTTTGTTTATAGGAAGACAGAAGACACCTATAGGTATCCTACGATTACGAGAGATCTCGGACCTCTACGAGAGGTAGCTGGTAAGGATGTACCTCACAAATGGTTCAAGTGGAGGGGGTAGTAACACGAGTTACCGAGGATCGGGGAATGGGCTTACCCAGCAAGGGAACTAGGGCGGCCCTGGAGGGGTGTTCGCAAATGGCAACAATGTCGGGTTTGGTTCCGGGCCTTCCGGTGGGGTCTATTACAACTGCGGGAAACCGGGTCATTTCGCGCGTGACTGTTGGTCCAAGAGAGGCTGACCGTACCAGCAGATTTTCAAGCAACCGGACCCTGAGTTAGAAGAGATTAAGGAACATCATAGGCAGATACGACGTGGGAGACAAGAATTAGAGGAGAAGCGAAAAGCGGAAGAGGAGAAGAAGACTAAGGAGGAAGAGGAACGGCGTAAGAAACTGGATTTTGCCAGAAAGATGGAGGAACTATGGCTGCGATTGCGGATGGATCTGAACGAAGAATGGCGGCGGAGAGAGCAAGAAGCGAATGCTGCAGTACGAGACATGAGGAACACGAAAAACAACGAGTCGCCGGCTGAGAGGGGTCGGAAAACTAGGAAGGCCAAGCGTAAAGGGAAGAGATCTAAGAGGGGGCATAATTCTGAACCTAGTGAGGAATCTGACTCAGAGACGGGATCCGGTAGGGACTCTACGACTTCGACATCCACGTCGGAGGAGGATGGTAGCAGAGGAAGAGGGCGGCGTAAGAAGGAGAAGGGAAAGAAGCGCAGTGCTAAGAAGAGGGTCGGGAAACAGAAGAACAGGAAAAAGGATGTCTCACCGGTGGATCTTACCCCGAGATTCGAGCATGGCGAGTGCTCAAAACACGGAACTGCCGGGGCTGAGAATGCACAAGGCGGACGAAAATTGAACGAAGATGATCGAGATGAGCGAGACGAAGAGCCAAAGACCCCACTCACAGGAGGTTACAAGGGGATTTCGGCGGGATGCTCTCAAAAGGGGCTAATCGGATACTGCATGTCTGCCCACAAGATTTACTCGGGGAAGAGTGCGCCGGATCTTAGAAAGTTATGCGACAAGAAAGGCATCCGTTTCACGAAGAAGCCTGAGGTTGTCGAACTGCTAACTAGGCAGCAAGTGGAACTAGCATACAAAGGATTCAACGAGAAGGACGAGGAGGGAAGCGCTGACAAGAGGGGGAAGGGGAGAGCTCCGACAACACCGAAGACCGAAGTCAGGAAGGACCGCATCGTACACGAACAAACGGCTGGTAGGCAGCCACGTATCATCCTGAGATCTGCACCCGCGCAGCCTGAAGAGGGCTCGAATTGACGGTGTCGGGCTCCCACGAATGTCGAGCTATGGGAGCGACTGAACTACTGGTTGAACCAGCGCTCGGTGTTGCAGGAGCTCAACACGAGTGGTAACACAACTAGAAAGGTAGAATGCGTCATCACCTTCACTACAATCCTACTGACTGCGAGAGGGCTGGTACCGTGGCTCGAGAAATATCTCTTGAGAACGCAGGATTTGAGTACACTGTTGGAACTTAGTTCCCCGGGGGTCTATGTTGTAGCCAGTCTGTGGTAAAAAAGGACATATGTAGGATGCACGGTGAGACCTATCATACAACGCTGGCGGGAACACTGCAGGAACGCTAGGAATTATGCACTGGGTCTCACACCACACCTTTACTGGTGGCTGAGGGCTTTTGGTCTGAGTAAGTATGTGGTAGTACCACTACGACACACTGAGAGGGTAGACGACTACGCATATGAGGAGTTTTTGATTGCTGATTTTTGTCCGAGTTGGAATTCGCGAGATATTGGGAAACGTGAGATTGGAAGGCGGAGAAAGGCGAGAAGAGGACGAAGGGAAAGAAAGGGTAGATCAGCACAGACCCGTGTCAAGGACACGGTGGTTGGATGCAGTCACGGGGTCAGCTTCACCTCGATTTATAGTTGGTTGGATAATAGGACTGACGGGGAGGACCTGCATGAGGTGGTGATTTTCAGTAGGGGCGAGGTATGGATCGACGGATGGAAAACAATCAGGAGAACTTTTGGAGAGACAAGATTGATGATTGACGACAAACGAGTACTGCTCAAGCACATGAAGGAGAGATTGCAACAAGGAGGAACTGTGACTTTCCGAAAAATCGTGAAGATGAAAACGACGACGGAGAAGAATAAGCTGATGCTTACAACACTCCTCAGACGTCCGAGACCGGTGGCAAAACTGGCGAATCTGACTACGAACAAGCTTATACGTAAGTATCGGGCAGCTGGCTGTTTCACGGAGAAAAAGGCCAAGCTTGCTTTACGGTGGAAGATTGACAGTGCAATCAGAAGAAAGCTGGGTACTGGCGTGAGGAGGAAGGTCGTGGTGAAACTGCGTTTCGATTCCTGCATACGGAAGGGAGGGATTCGGATGATGGCCGAGCACGTCATCGACTACAAGCTACGAGACAGGGCTGTAGCAGGCTTCATGAAGACCAGGATCCGAGTGGTTTGGATGAAGAACAAGACTGTGGGACAACTGCTGCATAACCAGAAGACGTTTGCAACGGAGGAGCAATTCCAGTGTACGTGCGACAGCTTCAATCTCCCGAAAGTAGAAGGTCATGTCGCAACAAGGTTTGCTGATTTGGAAGACATGCCGGTGTTCCTACGCAATTCGAGGAACATCACGAGAGCTAGCACGGCTTTGAAGAAGGACACTCTGATCCAGGCGGTCCTGGATGGTACGAAGCATATCCGAGGATCGATGCCAACGCTTACTGTACCCGAGGGTACCATTGATGAGAGGAGACGTGTGTCATTGGCCTGGACGGATGGTGAAGTCAAGAGATGGAGCAAGAGACTGGGGGGACTAGGCCTAATGCCGATAGACCGGAATCATGGGGACACCGCCGTGTTCTGTCCGGTCCTGTATAGGCACGCGTTCGGGAAATTCTTTCTCTGGAACACTAACTACCACGAGGTTTGTCCAATCGAGCTGGAGGCCGAGTTCCTGGCCCGCTGTAGGAGGGACTTCACGGCAGCAGGACTGGAGGCTTTTGGTCTGTGGCGGGCTGACGGTAGATTGGGAACGGCTTATGTCATCCCTAAACACAAAGGCCTGGGAAGGTGGAGACCGATAGCACCATCACCCTCCGACCCCGCGGCGGTTACACAGAAGAGAGTAGCCCGGGCTCTGCACTATCTGTTGATGAGGCTCCCAGCGAGGATCTCATTCGACCTCAATTCAGTTGCCGATCTGCGGGAAGGACTGGAGTCAGCGACACGGAGAATGAACGCAGCGGGTTTCTCACGTGTGGTGGGAAGATGCTATGATATTAAGGAGATGTTTTCTCGCATCCCACACGAAGCCGTGACCCGAGCAGTTGAGCGGTTATTGTGCATGTTTGAAGACAGCGGTTGGAAGTCGGTGAAAGTTTCACATCGAGCGAAGACATGTATCATCAGCAACACGAAGAAAAAAAGCGATGGGTATGTCAGCTTCACACTCAGGGATTTGCTCCGAGGGGTTCGATTCGATCTCAAGCACTCGGTAATTCGATGCGGAAGGAAGATAATGAGGTAGATCTTTGGGATCCCAATGGGGAAATCCACGAGCCCTGTTTTGGCCTCTATTACATGCGCCATGGCGGAGTTCCATTTTCTAAGGCAATTGGGAGCAGACAGGAGGTTGATCCACGGTTGGCGGATCATGGACGACATTTCGATTGTGATCGGGATAAAGCACTCGGGACACGACGAGTTGTTTCCGGAAAGTCTGTTTGATCGTTTTGAGAAGATCTACGATGAGAATCTTGAGGTCGTACGGAAGGACGACTGCGGCCTAACTTGGCAGTTTGTGGGGGGCTTGATTTTCCTTTGCGACGAGCCGATGATACTACACTACGCGCCGCTGACAAAGAACACCGAGCCTTTGACGGAACAAGGTCGTCTGGTCTTCCAGACGATGCAAGATTTTTCTTCTTTCTCAGAGAAAAGAGTTAAGAAGGCGGTCCTGAATGCAACGATACGCAGGTTGTGGGAGCAGTCAACGAGCAAGGCTCTGGTTTCGGGTACGATAGCATGTGCTATCTTCGAAGCTAACCTCCGGGGGTACCCCCCGGAGGTCTCTCTCGGTGCATGGTTGTATTAGCCAAGGCTGCGGACGATCAAGCGCCGAGGAAGATGCTGGAGGTTCTGAGGTCCCTGATAGCAGGGCGGCGAGGGCGCCCAAGCGGGGAATAGACTTGTTTCGGGCAATTACCAGGTTTTGAGCCCGACTGTATGCTACTATGTTGTTTTCTTAAGTACTGTTTCGTTTGTCCGGAAGTTTTCTTAAGTGTTTGTTTTAACATTTTCATAGTTTTTTTTTATCGTTTTGAACATTATGCGTTTTCCTGGTCTTATCATTTTTCAATAGTACTGTTTTTGGGGTTTGTTCTCCCTGTTTTCTAGGGTGGAGACATGTGGGGGACTACGCAGGTATTTGCTCCTGCAAGTGTCGTTTCGGAACTCTACGCAGATTTCGGGGGAAACTTCTCGGAGCAGTTAATAATTAGTAAAGCACCGAGCATATAGGCAGGCCGGTTGGCTGATAATTCTTAGGCCACCCCCAGACCACTAGGCAGGGCATAGATATAGATATAAAGTATTCTGTAGGAAGAACCTGGACCACTAGGCAAGCCAGGTACACGTAGAGGCATAATGGAAACCCGGGCGGGAGGCAGACCAGGTACAACATGGATATTTATAGATGGGTATACGTGAGATGCCGATTCTCTCACACACACACACGCAAACACACACACGTGCGCACACACACACAATCAATCAATCAATCAATCAATCAATCAATCAATCAATCAATCAATCAACCAATCAATCAATCATTCAATCAATCAATCAATCAATCAATCAATCAATCAATCAATCAATCAATCAATCAATCAATCAATCAATCAATCAATCAATCAATCAACCAATCAATCAATCAATCAATCAATCAATCAATCA